TGAAACATTTTAAAATCAGTAAATTCTTCAATACTAAAGAAAAACAACAAAGAAATTGAATATATCATCATCACTGCAAAAGTAATATTAAGTCTTGAAATGAAAAAGGCATTCTATAATTTTAGGACTATATTTTCCATTAAAATACCATGACAACAATTCTGCCAAGGGGGCAGGACAAGGACAGGATGAGGGAGGGAGATGGCAGAAAAAGAATAATATTTCACACATATAAAAACTAAGGTGAGGAAACAATTCTTGGAACAAATTTAAGTAAACCATTTTAATGTCTGGTTTTTTTTTAACTGACACAATACAATATAAAACTTACAAAGACTTAATACCTGGCATCAAGAAGGAGTGAGAGTGCAGCAAGAAGACCACACCAGCAGGCATTCACCATTTCTTCCCAAACAGCTCTGCTAACTTAATAGAAAAAAACATACACAGATGTCAAATATTTATCAATATGGCAAATTCTAAAATCTCGGCCATTTGACAGTATGTCAAATACTCCATCAGCAACTCATTTTTTACATACTAAGCTCAATATTCAGAATATATCTGAAAAAACAAAAACTTAGAAGCCACACTGTAGTTTCAGGCTTTAAGAAGTTTTAGGCCGGGCGCGGTGGCTCACGCCTGTAATCCTAGCACTCTGGGAGGCCGAGGCGGATGGATTGTTTGAGCTCAGGAGTTCGAGACCAGCCTGAGCAAGAGCGAGACCCCGTCTCTACCAAAAATAGAAAGAAATTAATTGGACAGCTAAAAATATGTAGAAAAATTAGCCGGGCATGGTGGCGCATGCCTGTAGTCCCAGCTACTTGGGAGGCTGAGGCAGAAGGATCGCTTGAGCCCAGAAGTCTGAGGTTGCTGTGAGCTAGGCTGACGCCACGGCACTCACTCTAGCCAGGGCAACAAAGTGAGACTCTGTCTCAAAAAAAAAAAAAGTTTTAAAACTACATTGTTTTAAAATATCCATGGTAAGACCTTTCTGTACACAAATTAACTGATATCTTTTTTTGAAAAATATGTATCAGTTCCTATTTCCTTTCCTTTTATCAGGCCAAACTTTCAACCTGTGTGACCAGGTGGGAGTGAGGGTGGGGTGGGGTGCAGTGTAACACCCCTGGCTAGCTCAGCCAGGAGATTAGTTACACACATTGGAAATAAAGCAAATAAGTAAATACACTTAGCAAAATGGGATCAGGTTCCTCAGTCAGTGTTGGAGAAGGGAATTACTAATACAGAAAGTTAAAATAAACCTTGTGGTAATGAGCTGGAATTGGAGAAATTGGTGTGATGTCACAGTGCTCAATATAAATACAGAAAGAGATATTTTAAAAATGTAGAGACATGTGATTGTGTGTGTGCGTGTGTGTGTATATTTCCTATCCAAGTAGCAAGAAGCATACCTAGTACTCATGTGGTAGTTTTAATACTATTCTCCGTTAAAAGGAACCAGGGCTCCTTGGAAAAATGAATTACACCTGGGCTGGACAAGAAACATTCAAGATCGGCTTGGAACATCTTGTTCTATCAAATAGTAAGGAAGTATTTAAACAATGTCAAAAGGACACAGGGGCCAGCTTCAAATGGGTCCCACCTGGCCATGTCAGGGATGATGTGAGCATCAAACTAAATAATGATAGTTAAAGATTGTAATCCTTTGAATAAAATAGGAACCCATAAATCTAAATGAATATAAATGAATAAATTTTTTAACCTGGCAATGTAGATAAATAAATGAATAAATTTTAAAAAATAAAAAAAATGGAGAAGGAAAATCATTCTTTTGTAGCACATGTCTGGAAGTATTTCTCCATAAAAAGTTAATAATTAGCTTTACACTGAAGAAACTAGGCTGACATTATATTAACCAAATGATAAAAGTGAATGAGACAAATTGATATTGTATGCTTCCTAATATACTGATACAATAAATACAACACAGAAACATTTCTGCGCTAGTCCTGCCAAAAATAAATAAATTGAATTTAATTTTGAAGGAAGATAAGATGAACTTAAATTGACTAGCCTGTACTCTTCAAAAACGTCAACGTCATATAAAACAAGGAAAAACTAAGGAACTGTTCCAGATTGAAGGAAAGTATAGAGACATGGTAACTAAATTTAACACATGATCCTGGATCATAAAGGACATCACTGAGGCAACTGGCAAAATTTGAATGAGATCTGGAATTAGGTGATAATATTGGATTGAGATTAAATTTCTGATGGTGATTGTACTGTGGTATATAGGAACTGTCCTTATTTTGAGAAAATACACATTAAAATTTTAAATGGTACCGTATCTACAACTTATTCTCAAATAAGTCAGAAAAAAGTATAGTCATATACATATAAATAGAGAGAATAGTACAGTAGGTAAAAGTGGTAAAGCGTTAACAATTGAGAAATCAGGGTAAAGGACATACGGGAACTCTTATTTTTGCAAATTCTCTGTAAATCTCAAATTTTTTCAAAATAAAAATTAAAAATACAGAATCATAATATTATACCTATTTCCTTATCCATTTGGTCTGATGTTGACTGTAAATCTTGCTGTTCTGATGACTGTGTTGGTGAAGAAGCTTCTTCAGTGGTAGTTTGACATTCTGTTTCAATCTCTCCTAACTCTCCTTCGATCATACTAGTGATTCCACGAACAAGGTCTAGCAAACAATGGAATGCCACAGACATGGCATAACCTTCTGGTATAGTTGGGGGCTCAACTTTGTCCAACATTTCTAGGCTGAAATTAGGAAAAAATTGGAATACTAATGAGCAACAACAATAATGAAAATATAACTATTTCCATAATTTATAGGCTATAGAAATTAAGATGAACAGAATAGCAAAAAATAAAGGGATATTACCTAGTTTGTTTCTTTTGGAGAAGGGATCTCTTCATGGTATTCTATTAATAAAAACTAATTAGAAAAATTAAGGCCTGACCACTACCATAACTATTTTAATAATTTACTTCTTGCTTCTGCCCCAAGTTGTGTTGATATTTTCATTAATTGTTGATATTAGAAAAACAAAGACATACATACAAAATATAGTAAGACTTAGATTATAAAACTTCTCAAATTGACTTAGATGCTTTTAAAATAAGGTGCTATAAAATCAAATCAATCCTAAAAAGAGGAAGTGCTTTCACACTGGGGAAACATTTACCATTTATCTGTAAGATACCCAGCTCACCTATCCTCTCAGATACAATCTACCAACAAGGTGAGAATAATACTTAGAGCATGAGTGTTTCAAGTTTAAATTGCAGAGCAGTTTCTACAGTTAGACAGAAGGAATAAGATCTATTACAGTGTCCGATAGTTCAGCAGGGTGACTACAGTTAACAATAATCTATTGTATATTTCAAAATAGCTAGAAGAATTCAGATGTTCCCAGCATAAAGAAAAGATAAATGTTTGAGGTGATGGATAACCCAATTGCCCTGATTTGATCACTACACATTACATGAATGTATCAAAAATATCACATGTACCCTAAAAATATATTAGGTATCAATAAAAAAAATTATTCTGAGTCAAAAAAGACTGACACAAAAGGACATTTATTGTACGATTCCATTTATATGAAATATCCAGAATAGGAAAATCAATAAAGACAGAAAGTAAATTAGTAGTTGCTAGGGGCTGGGAGAAGGGGGATTAGGGAATGACTGCTAATAGGTACAGAGTATCTTCTTGGAGGGATGAAAATATTCTGGAATTAGGTAATGGTAATGGTCACACAACTTTTGAATATACTGAAACTATGACTTGTAGACTATAAAGGGGTGAATTTTATGATATGTGAATTATCTCAAAACAAAATTGAAATTACTAAAGATTACTATAAAAAAGCTAATAAAAGTAATTTCCTACCTCAAATTCTAAAAGTCTTTGAATCATAATTAGATTGGATAAAGTAATTTATTTCAAAAATGCAAAATTCAAAATACACAATAAGAATACATATATATACATAGTGATCATTTATTGAGAAATACTCTCACTCCTGGGACTCTATTTTTATTTTATTTTTTTTTACATATATTATATAAGTCTTTACAAAAACTATAAGAGACACAGAAAATGAAACTGAGGACTAAGGTGATATAATTATTAATAAGTAGTTCTTAAGTCTGACTTTAAAGCCTACCCATTTAACTACTAATAGGTGTCAACACTGAGCATTTTAAAATGTATGTAATTATCAGAAATATATTTATATTATTGATCAAGAAATTTAAGCTCAAAAGGAATGATAAAGTTTATGGGTTTAATCTTTACCAGGCAAATTAGTGTTAGAGAGCCACATACTAAATAAATCAGTGCTTAAAACACCTGTTAAATTCCTGTTCTCAAACATGTGATCTAGTGGGAAAATAATGTATCTAAAACAGATAAAATAATCTGAAACATCAGAGACTCTAATTCCCAAATTCTATGGTACAAACTTTAAGCACTTGAATAGTTAAGAAAAAAAGGTAATTTATATTTTATACCATGAACCTAAAACAAAACACATACTTTGTTACCTCATTGCTTCACTAGTATTTTATTAGAATTACTGCATAAATTCCACTTTTAGATAAAATGTAACTCACCTATTTAAACATTTTAAACTTATGGTCAAATTGTAAAAACTGTCAGCCCAACTTTGAAGGGATCTATAGTATAATAAATATGAAAGAATACAACACCAACAATACTTATGTCAAAACTACTTCTATCTATATAGCACTGAAGTTTTCAAGTTCTTACATACTTAAGAAGTCAAAAAAAAGAACATAAGACTGTATGTATACCTTCAAAGAAATGAAAATCATTTTATATTGAACCTCACAATGAATGACTAAAAGACGCCAATTCAACAGGTAAGCTCCAATGTGAACATACTAACCCATGTACAAAAGAACATACAATATTTTCTGGGTATTTATGATGTCAGAAGTAATTTTAGTGTATAGAACTAAAAAATTCTATTTATACATTTCTTTAAAGATTTAGTCCTAACCTTATCTTAAAGGTGAGAATATTAAGATCAAGTGATATAAAGTGCTATACTCAAAATGATAGTATTTAGTAGCAACGCCAGTTAAAATCCAAGTCTCTTAAGTGACGAGGATTTAACTTATCAATAAACAATTTGTTTTTAGACTTATATTTCTATTTATTTGTTTATTTTTTTGAGACAGAGTCTCACTCTGTTGTCCTGGCTAGAGTGAGTGCTGTGGCGTCATCCTAGCTCACAGCAACCTCAGACTTCTGGGCTCAAGCGATCCTTCTGCCTCAGCCTCCCAAGTAGCTGGGACTACAGGCATGCGCCACCATGCCCGGCTAATTTTTATATATTTTTAGCTGTCCAATTAATTTCTTTCTATTTTTAGTAGAGACAGGGTCTCGCTCTTGCTCAGGCTGGTTTCGAACTCCTGAGCTCAAACAATCCGCCCGCCTCGGCTTTAGACTTATATTAATAAAAGTAGCATTGCTACAACCTGGCCAAGTATTTGCCCTTTCATGGTTTAATTTTATTTTTATTTTCCTTCCTCAAGCACACATCTTCACTCTCTCCCTTTAATTATGTGTTTGCTCAGTATTATCTCCTCAGAGAGGCCCTTTCTGTTCCCATCTTCACCTTGGTCACTCATTATCCCCTTTAACTTGCTTTTTCTTCAAAGAATTAACCACTACCCAAGGTTATACAGGTTTTTTTTTGTGCCTTTATTTATTGACTACATCAGTCACTATTAATAAAATCTAAGCTTCATGAAAGCAGGAATTTTGCTGTGTTGGGTTTTTTTCAGGTTGTAAAATGAGGTGGAAAAGTGGAACTAGATAATAACGTCTCCTATAGTGCTGGAAACCTGATTCCTGTACAACTTGATTCATTAGTACACTCAAGTCATTACCTTTTGTACCAAGGCAAAGCCTATGTGAGACTAGGTAATGTCAGTATCTTGTAAATGACTAAGAACAATAATGAATTTTAGTTAAAATATTTCAGTCCTCTATAACTCTATATTTTCACAATTTTAGGCAAAATAAAGCTGCCTGCTAATATATCACCATGATGATACGATGAAGACTGACATACCATAGAAATTTATGATCTAAACAAGTCAGAGATTCTGTTTCACATTTATTTTTTTTTGAGATAGGGTCTTGCTATGTATGTTGCCCAGGCTGGACTCGAGCTCCTGGGCTTAAGTGATCCTCTCGCCTCAGCCTCCCAAGTCTGTTTTATATTTTAAGTCTTGATTTACTGTCATCAGAATAGTGTTTTAATTATGCATACCAATTACTCAAAATATATCTGTAATTGTATCATAGTAACCGTAGCAATGTTAAACCCATGTAGCATTGATTGCTTTATTTCTCTAAGCACTGCATTTTACTAGACTTAAGAAAAATAAGTAGTATTTGCTGAATATGTATTTGTTAAACTGAAATGGCTAATGACAATGAAAAAATAGCAGACACGGAATCCATTAAACAATTAATTATAAACTAAAATTTTTGTGTGCTAAACCCTAACAATGTCATTAGCTAAACACTTAAGATAACTTTTCTTACATATAGAGATAAGAGAAATGAGGTGTTAAAAAAAAATATTAATTTACTGAAGGTAACTCACTTAATATTAGAAGACCTAAATCGAAGGGGTATGAAACCAAGCCATATACTTAAACCAAAAAGTTGTATAGAAGAGCTGAATAAATTTTGTTTTATTATGTTGTTAACAATCTATAAATAGCATAAAACAAATAAAATCCAGTACTAGGTAAAATTTTCAAAATATGACAAAAGAAAATGAGCTCTAAAGTGCATTAGAAACACTGTATCCAAAATTTAAAATGTAATGCAGAGAGAAGCACCTTAGGATTAAATATCATCCCCAACAATATCATTCCTTATAAAACAATGCCACTACTACTTACTAGGTTGCTTTAGCACTGCCTTGAACTGTTATAGTTAGAATAGGTATCCAAGTTCCTCGATATTCAAATGCTGGTAGCAAAGTAACACCTCCACCAATCCCCACCATTCCTGAGTTAGCTGGTGCTGAGACTGAGCTACCTGAATTATTGTTCCCTATCAGGGAAGGGGGAGAAAAACAAAGATACCAATTTATTACTTGATTATAAGTTAATAATATTCAAACACCTTGCCAATCTTTAAAAAAATTTTCTGTACTATCAGAATGGGTATTGTACAAATAAATTTATCAATACTATTTTGTCTGTTAGAGAGTCTCCCTATTTCCCCAAAATGCCATTTCCTTTTTTACATAAAAGCTACTAAAGTAAAAATACTGACAAATTTATTAGTATACCTCTTGTTAGACCACTTTTTATCAGAGGTGAGAATAAAGAATTAAAAAACCATCAATCAGGTAATACAAAGTAGAAGAGAAAAAGGTAGAGGGAAACAACAGCTATATACTGATTACCAAACAAACTTAAACCATGTTAACCCCTTTTGTTAAAAGAGAGACTAACAGACCTCTCAAGGTAGTAACTGTCTATATTCTTTCAAGAGAGGCATCAAATGAAGATTCTTCTAAAATGAATATTAGCATCTAAACTTTTGTTCTTATGTGATTAAAGGAACTGAAGGTATTAATATATCAAAGAGGAGAACCTACTCTGGAAAGAAGTAAACACAGTTGCTTCAGTGAGATCAAATTATTCTTTAAGTGTAAATCTTTACTACCAATATATTTAGGTAATCCAAATTTCTCTAGTCACAGGATTTCTATAAAATGTTCTCTCAGAATAGTGGATATTATAAATTATGGCAGAATATAAAAAACAAAATATAAATATCCCTTTACCAGGTTGGTTGGTTGTAGCAGGATTTCCAGTAGGAGGGACAAGAAACAAGGACTGGATAAAAGACCCCAGTGCGTTCACAATATCACGAAAAACCTTGGTAGAATGCTGTTTCATATCATAGGACTGACAAAATGACCTGTAAAATAATTTAAAATGTTTCTTGGAAAAACATTTGAATGTATCAAAGATTTTTAACATTTTTTATAATAGGTGATACTGCTATAATTTCAATGCTATACTCAAAAACTCTTCATTACACCTAATTTTACCAATTTAGGAAAAAGGTTCAGATTGAGGTCAAGGTTCTAAAAACATTACCTTGGCTATATTAACTCAGTAAATGCAGATTGATGTCAATCACTAACCACACATTTTGCCCACCTCGCAGTTCTTTTCCACACCTACATTCCTGCCCTTCCATATATATACAATACTCTATTTTCTTTGTTTAGAAATCACTAATATTTGAAAATACTTAAATCCTTCCTACTAATTTATTAATCTACTATTGGTTAGTAAGCATTAACCTATCCATTTAACAAAATATCACTGAGGTTTTACCTTAATAGCTGAGGCTGCACACAGAGTCTGTGTATTGATTCCACTGCAACAGCTCGTAGCCACTGTGGTTTATCTGCATCCAGAAATTTCACCAGAAGTGACAGAAATATCTCACATTCAGTTACCTAAAAAGTATGTATGATTTTTCTATAATATTTCTTTTAATCAAAAAGAAGAATTATAAATCACATTCTTGTTCTTAACTTAGTGCTGTGGATAAAACAATAAAGTCTTTTAGACTGGAAATAATTTTTTTTTTTTTTTTTTTGGAGACAAGGTCTCACTCTGTCAATGAGGCTGGAGTACAATAGAGTGATCATAGCTCACTGCAGCCTTTAACTCCTGGCCTCAAGCAATTCTCCTACCTCAACTTCACAAAATGCTGGGATTATAGGCATAAGCCACTGCACCAGCCCTAGATTTGAAATAAAATTCTTAATGGAGAGTGGAGAAATAGAGAAGTGAAAAGTAGTTATATAAGAAAAAGTTAACAGTACAACTGTTGAAGAGACTGCCCTTTCCCCAACAAGTGGTCTTGGCACTCTTTCTCAAAGATCATTTTACCATATATGTCAGGGTTTATTTCTGAGCTCTCTATTCTGTTCCACAGGTCTTTATGAATGTCTTTATGCCAATACTGCACTGTTTTGATTACGGAAGTTTTATAATATATTTTAAAATCAGGAAATGTGAGGCCTCCAACTTTGTTCTTTTTTCTCAAGACGGTTTTGGCAATTTGGGGTCCCTTGAGATTCTGTATGTTTTTCTGGTGTGGAATCTTTAGAGTTTCTTACACATAACATCTGCAAACAGAGATAATTTTACTTCTTCCTTTCCAATTTGGATGCCTTTTATTTCTTTTTCATGTCTAATTGCTGTGGATAGGATTTCCAGTAGTACGTTGAATAAAAGTGACAAAAGTGGGCAATCTTGCCTTGTTCCTGATCTTAGAGGGAAAGCTTTCAGGTTTTCACCAGTGAGTATGATATTATTGACTTTTCATATAGATAGCATTTATTAGGCTGAGGTAGTTTACTTCTATTCCTAGTTTGTTGAAGTTTTCACCATGAAATGGTGATGAATTCTGTCAATTGCTTTTTCTGCAACTGCTGAGATGATCATGTGGTTTTTGTCCCTCATTTTGTTAACGTGGTGTATTATATTGATTGATTTTCGTGTGTTGAAACATCCTTTTGGTCCAGGGATCTATCCCACTTGATCATGGTATATAATCCCTTTAATGTGTTGTTGAATTCACTTACCTTGTATTTTCTTGAAACTTTTTGCATTAATATTCATCAGGGATATTGATCTGTAGTTTTCTTGTAGTACCTTTGTCTGCCTTTGGTATCAGGGTAATGCTGACCTCATAAAATGAGTTTGGAAGTGTTCTCTCCTCTTCAATTCTTTGCAGTTTGAGAAGGATTGATATTAATTCTTCTTTCAATGTTTTGTAGAATTCTCCAGTGAAGACATCTGGTCCTGGGCTTTTCTTTGTTGGAAGGTTTTTGATTATTGATTCACTCTCTTACTAGTTATAGATCCGTTAAAATTTTTTATTGTGATTCAGTCGTGGTAAGTTGTATCTTTCTAGGAATTTATTCATTTCTTCCAGGTTATCTAATTTGTTGGTATATAATTCTTCCCAGTAGTCTTTTATCACCCTTTTTATTTAGTTCTGTGGCAACAGTTGTTGCCTGCCTACATAAGCCAAGAGTAGTTCCACTTTATGGCCTAGTTGGTATTTAATAATTAAGCTCAAATATATTTTGTTTACTTAATCATCCAAATTTCATTGAAGCTATAAACAAAGAAAGAATCATAAAAATCATTCAATCTAATCCTTCTCTCTTTTTAGCCTAGGTTAAGGTTTGTGAATTTTGTTAATCATTTCAAAAAATCAACTCTTAGTTTTATTGACTTTATTGTTTTTCTATTCTCTATTTCATTTATTTATACTGTAATCTTTATTATTTCCTTCCTTCTGCCACCTTTGGGTTTAGTTCGTTCATCTTTTTCTAGTTCCTTGAGGTGTAAAGTTATGTTGTTGATTTCAGACCTTTTTTCTTCTTTTTTAATGCAGGTATTTATCACCATAAACTTCCCTCTTAATACTGCTTTTCCTACAGCATGTTTTGGTATGTTGTGTTTTTGTTTTCATTTGTCTCAAGATATCTCCTTCCAATTTCCCTTGTGATTTCTTCTTTGACCCACTGGTTATGAGTGTGTTGTTTAATTTCCACATCTTATGACTCTTCCAATTTTCCTTCTGCTACTGATTTCTGGTTTCATTCCACTGTGGTCAGAAAACATAATTGGGATGATTTTAATCTTCTTAAATTTGTTAAGACTTGTTTTGTGGCCTAACATGTGGTCTATCCTGAAGAATGTTTCATGTGCACTTTAAAAGAATGTGTATTCTGCTGATGCTGAGTGGAGTGTTCTGTATATGTCTGTTAGGTCCAATTGGTGTTGTTCAAGTCCTCTGTTTCCTTATTGATCTTATGTCTGGTTGTTCTACCCATTATTGAAAGTGGAGTATTGAAGTCCTATACTGTTATTATGTTGTCTATTCTGGTTAATAAAAAATAAGGTTATAAATGCTAAAAAATTATACAATGCTGGATCTGACTTAGCACAAAATTAAAAGAAATATGATGTACTATTTTCTCTGAGAAATATTATTTGAATGTTTAAGAGTAAACCATTACATTAGAATTATAATCGGGTATATCACAACCTATTCCACATTCATAAACGTTGTATCAAAATAGATACAACATTGGCCTGGAAGTCAAAAGAATTGATTTCTAATCCTAGATTTCACCAAATTAATGTCTTTGCTTTAATTTGTTAAGATATATGAAACAGTATAAATGAAAGCAGGATAAACGGAAGATGCTATAATTTTAATTATCATTCAAGTGAGATATGGACAATTAGCTAAGAAACTAAATTCCTAAACCATAATTCCTATGCTGCTTCAGATAACAGGCAATAACTCTCCTTGACATTACATTATAAATACTCTATAAACATAAGCAAGAGTAAAGAAAGGATGGAATGAACCTTTAGCGTATCTAAAGGTAAAAGTAGGTAGGTAATCAAAAAAATTCTGAACTGAATTGAAAAAACTAAACACGCTACAATAGATCACTTTCTAAAAAGAGTACAACATGCAAGTACAGACACAAACGTGTAGACATTAGCACTTACCAAAAGACTGTAAAACTGCTTAATCAGAACAGATACTACTCTCAGCAAGCGCATGCAGATAGGAAAATATGGTTTTTCAACTGGTGCTGGAGAAGATGAAGTGCTGGAACCTTGTCTGAATTTTATATTTGGAGAAAAGAGCTTTATCACAAGAGGACATACCCTTTCTTTGAGGAGGAAACTAAATTCCTGGTGCTATTTGTGGAGAAAAGGAAAAGGAAAAAAGAATTAACTTAGTTTGTACTTAATACTTCTAAAACACAGTCTTACTAAAAAAATAAAACTTATTAATAATGAGAATCAATAACTTAGAGTTATTAGAAGTTTATATATTTATTTTACAGTTTACACACAATTTTGAAATTTGCGTTGTGCTCAGAGGATCTTAGACCAAAATAACCAATATTGCAAGAAGTTTTTAAAAGGATATAAATTTAAAAGGAACATTTAATGATTTTAGAATACAGTAATTGGTGCCTATTACTAGGAACTTTAAGTTGGACAATGATAATTAAAAACGTAAGGAACAGAAGAATGAAAACAGATTACACAAATTCAAGCAAATAAAGAATTTAAAACAGGCAGCTGAGAACACTTGATTAATGAAGTATAAGTAATATAATTCACTGATTTTATTTTGCAAAGAACAATTCCATTCATCCAGAGAAAACTTAATAATTAACTTAAAATTTTGTTCTACTTGAATTGCTTGAACAGAACACAGTGAGCAGATAAAATATGCAATGACAAACAAATATGATTAGTTTACAAGTCTAGGGAATCTTACAAAGAATTCTTAAATTTTACTTATGGTCATGGCATATTATGCAAAAGCCTTCTTTAACCTGCCTACATAAGCCAAGAGTAGCCTCATTTTATGCCTACTCTGTATTTAATGACTAAGCTCAAATATATATTTTGTTGTTTTAATCATCCAAATTTCATTGAAGCTATAAACAAAAAATCATAAAAATCATCCAATCTAATCCTTTAATATTACAGAAAAGGAAACTAAGGCACAGAGCAGTTTAGCAACTCAGAATCACAAAAATTTTTAAAAGTATCTTTAATCAAATCAGATTCATTCAAGAAAAAATCAGAAAATACAGATAAATAAAAGATAAAAATAAAAGTCTTGCCTCATCTTAACTGAAGATAAGCTGGTTAGTTACTGTTAACTTCCCAGATGTATACCCTTCCATACTTTTCTATGTGTTTTAATGTACTTTTTAATTCTTCCCCCCAAAATGAGATCTTAAAGAGTTAAGTGATTTGAAATTCTACTCTCACATCTACAGTTAATTTCTTTGACTGCCAAAGTGAAAAGTATAGTTAAATCCATTTTCACACTTTAAAAAAATAATTATTTTATATATTGGTTAATACATAAATATATAAACAACTCTGAAAAGTTTTATCTATTTACTGTTTCTCCCTCACTACTCAATTCCACTACAGTTGGGTTTCTTCCACCCCCACCACCCCAACTCCAATTCTCATTATAGTCATCACGATCTCTGTGGCCAAAGCAAACTTTGCCCTAGTATTCGTTTTGACAGATCCCTTTGACTTGACATAAATGATTACTTGGTTCATCTTGAAACTTTCTTTGCTTTTGTCTGTTATTATATCACACACTCTCACTTTGTTCCTGCCTTTCTGGCCTTGGGTTCTCAGTCTCTTGTGTATGATCATCCTCTCATGCTCAACCATTCTAATGCTGAAGTTCCTCAGAGCTCCAGAAGACCAGGCCCTTGCTTTCTACGCTATGCTCTCACCATAGGTGATTTCATTCACTCCCATATCTTTAATTAAAAACCATACGCCAGGGCTGGGCACAGTGGCTCACGCCTGTAATCCTAGCATTCTGGGAGGCCGAGGTGGGAGGACTGCTTGAGCTTAGGAGTTTGAGACCAGCGTGAGCAAGAGTGAGACCCCGTCTCTACTATAAATAGAAAGAAATTAGCCAAACAACTAAAAATAGAAAAAAATTAGCCGGGCACGGTGGCATGTGCCTGTAGTCCCAGCTACCTGGGAGGTTCAGGCAGGAGCATTGCTGGAGCCCAGGAGTTTGAGGTTGCTGTGAGCTAGGCTGATGCCACAACACTCTAGCTCAGGCAAGAGAGTAAGACTCTGTCTCAAAAAAAAAAAAAAAAAAAAAAAAAAAAATGCTAGGAACATTTAAATTTATAACTTCAGCCCAAAACCACAAGATGTATAAGTCCCACTAACATTTTGTATGTCTCACAGATACCTCAAAATGAGTATTATGAAACTGAATAATCTATCCTTTGTAATAAAAATTCTATCTAAGTATTCCATCTTAGCAAATGGTTCACTGCTCAAGCCAGAAACCTACAAGTCACCTTTGGGACTGCCTTTCTTTCTTTTTTTTTTTCTTGCATTAATGTAATCATTTTATTAACAAAAGGAACCCGGGGGTTCAAATAAGAGTACAAAATACAATCTTTATTTTTTTTTCCTGTGGGTTAAATTGTTAACATTTTTAATAATAAAAATTAAAAAGAAGCTTTCATAGTTAACTTATCAAAAACGTAACCCCTGGGACTGCCTTTTTCATCACTATGACGTATCATTGGTTTATTCAGCAATTACTTGCTGACTGCTTAGTACGTGCCAGGCACTGATCGTTTCTCAGAGTCACTGCTCTTGGAATTCCCTGTGTGTAGAGTATTCTTTTCCTATTCTACCTATATCTCCTAACTACTCTTTACCCTTCATGTATAAGATAAAGCATATCCCTGATTTATCACCAACACTCCACCAGATTTGGTACCCATGTTATTCAGTTCCATAGCACATTTTAACTTCTCTTTCACAGCACTCAACATGTCTGATCAATTCAGTTAGTATCTTTCTCCCACTTGTAAGTGCCATAAAGGCAAGGATTTTACAGACTTCTGTATACTTGGCATGAAACACATAGACCGGCATATTCTGAGTGACTGGTAAATTTTGGTTGAATGTGTTAAAAAAATATTTATCTCTGGAAGAAAATTTTACAGGACTAAATTCTAGGATCCTACACTGAATAATTCTTCCTTGCCCCCCATTACATTATAGCAGGAAGAATAAAGTAAACTAGGAATTTTGTGATTATAATAAATTCGGAAAAACTTTTTCAAATCTTTTCCTACAAAGTCAGAAAACACAATCCAAATATAGAAATTTTTAATTCAAATTCATTAACCAATTCATTCATTCATTCAAATCGAACACCTGTTATCTGCTAGGCACTATACTATTACTAAAGGTACCTACACAATAGTGAACTAAGTCCCTGCCTCATAGAGCTTATCTTCTTGAAGAAGAGAGAAATTAAAATTAGAGATACGTGTGTGTGTATGTGTGTGTGTGTGTGTGTCAGGAGGTGATGAGTGCTATAGGGGTGGCTGAGCATGGTGGCTCACACCTGTAATCCCAGTAATTTGGGAGGCTGAAGCGAGAGGACTGCTTGAGGCCAGGAGTTTGAAACCAGGCTGGGCAACATAGTGAGATGTCACCTGTGCAAAAAAATTTAAAAATGAAGAAAAAGAACGAAAAGAAAAAAGAAAAGAAGAGGAGGGGAGGGGGGAAGAAAGAAAAGAAGAAAGGAAGAAAAGAAGGGAGGGAGGGAGAGAAAGGAAGGAAGAAAGGAAAAAAGAGGTAGAATCTCCAGGATTTGATGGTTTAAAAAAAAAAAAATCAATCAATCAATAAAGAGGGGTAAGAAAGGTAAGGGTACTGGCATGAAAAAAGGTTGCCATTTTGCACAAAGTGGTTGGGGAAGATTTGTCTGATAAGTTGGCCATTAAGCAAAGACCTCAAAGAAGTAAGACAGCACATGATATGAGAGCAAACTACTCCAGGCCCAGGAACTAGTAAGTATTAATACAAAAACCCTGAGGCAGGAGTCTGCCTGGGGTATTTAAGAAACAAGAAAGACAGTGTACCTAAAGGGTGAGGCCAAAGGGAAGAGTGGAAAGAGATAAAATCAAGGAATACTGGGGACTAAGTCATGGAATGTTCCACAGACCATAATAAGGACTTCATCTTTATTCGGGTAAAGAGGATATCAACTGAAGCACTTTCACAAAGGAGTGAAAAGATATGACTTGTGTTAAAAGACTACTCTAGATGTGGTGTGACAAGTAACTACACCGGGATGGGGCAAATGTATATGCATGAAGACTAGTTAGGAAGCTAACACAATAATTCAGGTATAAGGTGATGATGGCTTAGACTAGGATAACTGTGGTAGAGTGGTAAAAAGTGACTGGACCCTGGGTAGATCTTGAAGGTGAGGGTTGGTATGTGGGGTGTGAAGGAAAAAGAGGCAAAAAAGGGAGACTGATTTGGAATTTGGATCAACATGAATTCAAACCCCAACTCCACCACTTACAACCCATGAAACCTTGAACAAAATATTTAAGCCTCTGTAAGTCATAGTTTCTTCATGTGTAAAATAGGAATAACTGGTACTTCTCAGGCATTTGGGAATATTACAAAGAATATAATATGTAAGGAATCTGGCACATAGCTTGTAGAAGGCAGTCAAAAGTGGTAGCTATTATGACTGTCATTTTATACAAGACTGTTGGACAGTTATATCTAAATACTGCTTATTCATATTATACTATAAGAAAGGGAATCATTAGTAAATATTGTTCATTATCACCAAAAGCATTTAACAATTGCCCAATATATAGCACAAATTATGGACCATATAAAAATAATTTCATTTCCAAATCCTGGGCTAAAAGATCTTATACTTTTGTGAATGAGTGAATATATACTTTTTCACTCATTTGTGTAGGATAAAATGGATTACCTAGGGAGGCAGCAACGTAGGGAAGAAGCTAGATGAGTAGTTAAAAGACCTAAATTATAGTTCAAGAACTGCTAATATCTAAAGAATCCTGAGGAAGTCACTGAAATCAATTTTAGACCTTAGTTTTTTTTTCATTTAAGTTATCTAAAAACACTATATATATACAAGTAAAAACAAGCTATACATAAACAAGTAAAAATCAATACTTTCTTTAAGCTTTTAAATATCATAAAAATAGCTCACATACCACATTTCCTTCATAGACTCATAGGCTGGGAAATGTCTCACTAAATAGTGTCTAGGGATTCTTTCTAATGTTAAAATTTTAAAATGCTAGGGCACTAAAAGAAGTAAAATAACTCTAAATTGTTATATGTCTAAAGTCTGAGGCTATATCATTCGTTGCATCTTATAATGTGGGACAAAATGCATGTTGCTTTAAAAAATATGTAAAGAAAATTAAAGATTAATTTTGTCACAAGATACTATAAATGGCTTACTTGTAAAAAGACTTGTGGAAAATCATTCAAGACTGACTCAAGTAATTCGAGGCCAAATGTTCGAGTCATTTCTGTCATGCCTACTAGCCAGTAAGGGGCATCGGCATTAACCAACTGACACAGGTCCTGGAAAAACAAATCAAACAATTTCATGTGCTAGAATTAAGTGTGCTTTTCAAAATTCATAGTTCATAAAACTTAAAAAAATGAAAAACCTCTCTTTTCAAATAATAGTTGTTTTTGCTCCTTAGAAACCAAGCATCAGTAATTCAGATTTTGACAACTTGTGTACTTGATATATTAATAAAAGTAAACTTTTCAACAATCATGTAACTTGACAATATACATAAGAGTAGACGGATAAATGATTAATGTAACATTCTCTTAATGAAAAAATAACTTTTTAATCCAAATTGATAAAATTTTCAGTACACATTAATCTTATTTTAATTAAAATGATTTATTCCTGACAATGTAAAAATCAGGTTATTCATTTATCAAATTATATTATGTAAATCACAAGTTTATTATTTAAATTTTCCTTGTTAAAAAAAATTTTTATAATTTGTCACCCCTAATGTACCTGTTTTCTAGTTCTAGGTTTAATTCATTTTATTTCCTTAAAGTGAGTCATAACATTTTATTATGTTAATTACCTATATAGTAAAATGTGAAAGTTGCTCTTTAATATATTAGAACTATTTTAATACTACTTTTGACATATCTTTAAAAATTTCACATAAAAAAATTAAATCAGACATAAAATTCCAAAATCGAAAATTGACACAAAACTATATTCTATAATAAAAGTTACTTTTATCAACTTAAATACCTGAAAAAGCATATATGCATCCTTAGCACAAGGTTTGAGGGTACTGACAGATCTTCTGTTACTATTTCCTTGGACTAGTACTGGTTGTTCTATAATATCTGCAATCAAAATAGGATGGGTTTTATGAGTTCATAATGGCTTTTATTTAATAAATCACATATTCCATTTAAAAGGTATGTTTAAAATATTTATTTACATAATAAACTTTAATTATAATTTCAGAACTATGCCTCCAAAATGAAAAAATACGGGGATACATTTTTACACAAAATGCCATAAAAATCACTCTTCACTATCTCTTACATTCACTATAATAAGCTTACTATCTTTGTCCATGCATTTGATTTTCCCAGTCTCCCATTCTTCAGCCCATTTATTTCATGGATTTGAAATTCACATGATCTTTGAATGTACCTTTAAATATCAAACAACTTTATAAAAGTTTACCATATGATTAATTCCTATTCCATCTCACTATCATCAAAAGAATCTGCCACTATTACTATGTCAGTTTCAGGTATGCACTAGCTAAGAGTCAGCTAGAATGGCATTTCCCAATTCAGCATTTTTTTTAATTTTTTTTTTTTTTTTTGAGATAGAGTCTCCTCTGTCACCCAGGCTGGAGTGCAGTGGCACAATCATAGCTCATTGCAGCCTCAAACTCCTGGGTTCAAGTGATCCTCCCACCTTAGCCTCCCAAGCAGCCAAGACTACAGGTGTGTACAACCACGCCCAGCTATTTTTTTCTTATTTTTTGTGGAAACAGGGTCTCACTATGTTGCCCAGACTGGTCTGGAACTCCTGGGCTCCAGTGATTCCCCCTGCCTCTGCCTTCTAAAGCACTGGGATTACAGGTGTGAGTCACCACGCACAACCTCTGCATTTCTTTAACTACTAATAAAAAGATACCATTCTCTGTAAGTTATGGTAGCCTGTTTTGAATAAATGTTGACTTAATGACTACTTGAAAAGAAAGAAGTTTTAAGTATTTCTACCCTATTAAAAAGTATTAAATGGCATATTAGTTCCTAGAGACACACAGCTAAAACTACCAGTCTGGGAATTATACTGTAAAAAACATTCAAACTGGAGAATTGCCCTTTTTTTAATATATATAATATGACTTTGAATATTTTAACCAAATGCAGTACACTATAAGATTAATTTCTTAACATTTAACTAGAATTCTACCTGCATTTTTCCCCAAAGAAAAATACAGAAAAATAAATATACCAAAGTTGGTAGAAATATTCTAAAAAAATCAACAGGTTGAGAATGCCTGAAACTTAAGGAGAAAAATCTGACCAGTGGTTGATTTCAAGAACATGAAGTAATTATTAGAGAGGCAAAATTACTATTACTTATTAGTATTGCCATTTTTTAAATCGATATTGCTGTTAAGAACATCAAATGGAAGATTTTGTAATATCAGGGATTAAGTAAAAAAGATAAACTATCCAAGGGGAAAAACAGTTTAATCTTTTGTTTCTTGACTACATAAAGCAGATAGGCTGCTTGTAACTATAGGACCTTATGATCCTTTCAACGAGTCATGCAGAAAATTTTACTTTTCACCCAATAATAATAACAAATGAAAAAACTCACAATTTCTATAGTTAAAAGTTATCCAATTATAGAAATTATAACAAACAGGGAGTATCTGTCAGCTGTCTGTTTCTGTTTTTAGGATGTGTTTTAAAATCACAAAGAAAAAGATTTTAAAAATTATAACAAAGGTATTTGATAAAAACATTTAAAAATTAATCTTTATGTTACATATTCTTGATTAACACGTTAATAGACATAGACAAAAATTTACATGAGGAAAGCCCACTCTTGAAAATTTACCTTAACGAAATAATTCAAATGGTGGAAAAAACATATGTAGGAAGACACAGCAGTTTTAAAATAGCAACCACAATGTAAGTGTCCAATAGGAGACTAGCTCATTAAATTACAGAATAGACACAAAATTCAACCATTAAAATTTAAATTATGAAGATTAAAGAATAATAAGATGAACTCATAGAATGTAACGTTTGGCTAAAACATACACATAATGCAATATTTGGTTTAAAATGTGAAGTTATCATCTTCAATATGAAATTATGCATACATTAGAAATAAACATGGAAAATGAAAAGTTTACTCCTTAAAAGATAAAATTGTGATAAAATTGTGAAGGATTTATTTCTTAAAGTGTCATTATTGATATAATAATACTAAAAAATATTTTTATAAAGTGTTCTAGTTTTTAGGTATCCTAAATTCACAGGGCAAAGACTGAAAATTAATAAAAATGGAATCATGCATGTAAGAAACACCCACAATCAAAGGGAAACTTTATCATTTTACCTCTGTGTCGTTCATCTTCAGCAACCATCCTCTCAAAAACAACAGTAACAACTTGTCGCACTGTAGCAGCGGCTGTATTATTTGTAATATTATCTTTTGTGAAGTGTAGTCGAAAACAAAGAACAATTGCCTAAAGAAACAATTTCCATTTAGTGTGAATTAAGATTGAAGATCAAGGCCATTATCTTTATTTTATCAGACATAACCCAAAATTCAATAATTTATGTTTGGTTGTTTGGATCACAGATATTAAGTCTCACCCCTTTCTATAATAAAAGTATAAAAGTCCTCAGATTCTGAAATAACAAGCTCTCAGTAAATATACAATCACATAAGATTAGCTAAGGTAATGTGAAATATACCTTTTAAAATTTGGTTCTTTTAACATGTATATAAAAATGTATCATGTTTTTATTTCCCCAGAATGACTTGCTTTGCAAAAAGTACTGAAAGCTTGTATTACTAAATCATTTGGAGAAATACTATGTAAATTTGCTAAGCATATAAATAAAATTACAATGCTTTTAAAAGGTGTCATTTATATGCAATAAATTGTTTTCCTTAAAAGTATATAAATAATTTGATGAGTTCTGACAGATACATAGGCCTGTGAAACTATGGCCACAAATGAGATACAGAACATTTCCATCACCCCAATATTTCCCTTGTGCTCTTTTGCCATCCAATCTCTCCCTCCATCCTTGGCCCACAGGCAACAACCTGTTTTTTTCACTACAGATTAGCTGGTATTTTCTTTTTTGGAGACAGAGTCTCGCTCTGTTGCCCGGGCTAGAGTGCTGTGGCATCAGCCTAGCTCACAGCAACCTCAAACTCCTGGGCTCAAGCGATCCTTCTGCCTCAGCCTCCAGAGTAGCTGGGGCTACAGGCATGCGCCACCATGCCTGGCTAATTTTTTCTATATATTTTTAGTTGTCCAGCTAATTTCTTTCTATTTTTAGTAGAGATGGGGTCTCGCTCAGGCTGGTCTCAAACTCCTGACCTCAAACGATCCACCCACCTCGGTCTCTCAGAGTGCCAGGATTATAGGTGTGAGCCACCGCACGGGCCTGGCTGGTATTTTCCACGATTTTATATAAATGGATCCATTCAGTGTGAGCTCTTTTGTGTCTGGCTTCTTTCACCTAGAATACTATTTGTGAAATTCACCATGTTGTTCTGTCAGTCAGTGGTCTGTACCTTTTTATTACTGAGTAGTATTCCATGGTGTGAGTAAACCACATTCTGCTTATCCACTCACTTGCTGATAGGCATTTGGGTAGTTTCCAGTTTTTGGCTATTGTTAAAAAAAGCTGCCGTGAACATTTATACACAAGTCTCTGTGAGGACATACATTTTCATTTACCTTGGGTAAAGAACTATGAGTGAAATGGCTGGGTTATATGGTAAGAATAGGTTTAACTTTTTAAGAAACTGCCAGTTTCCAAAATAGGTTTTACAATTTTATATTCCCGCCAGCAGTATATGTGAGTTCAGAACTATCCCACATCCTGGTCAACATTTGATATGGTCAGTCTTTTTAAATTTTAACTACTCTAATGGATGTGTAATGATATCTCCTTGTGGTTTTAATTTGCATTTCCCTGATAAGTAATAATACTGAGCCTCTTTTCATGTTTGTCACCCATTTGAATATCTTATTTTGTACAGAGTCTGCTGAAATCATCTGTCTATTTTTTATTGAGTTGTTGGTGTTATGAATGAATTGTAAGAGTTCATTATATAGTCTAAAGTCTTTTGTCATATATTTGTGACTATTTCCCCCATCTTGTGGCTTCTTTTATGATTCATGAATTTGAAATCTTCGAAATCTAACAAATCTTTGCCTACCCCAATATCATGAAGATTTTCTCCTATGTGTTCTTTTAAAAGTTTTGCCGTTTTAAAAATAGTCATTCTTGGGAAAAAACATAATGATAATTTAGATTCTATTCCTTATTATCTCAATTTTTCATCCCAAAATATTTCATTTCTCAATTAACAAACTAAAATAAATCCTATAATCAGTTCTTACTTCTTTAGGTCAAATAATAACCTTTTATGAAGTTTTAAGTATAAGTATCAGAATTGATAGCTAGAAACCAAGAGGAATTATTAATATATACAACAAAAGTGTATATAAAAATAACATAAAACATTTTCTATAGCAGGTACAAGCTTAAAAGAATAAACTATTTACAATTAGGTAAAATCTCAGTATGATCTAACAGTATCACTTGAGAGAGCACACATAGCTTAACGTAACAGTATACTGTACTTCTCGACTTTATAGGCCAACCACCCTTAAAGGCATGCAAATTACAATAAAACTACTATTGAAAGTCCAAAAAATTTCTCAGATAATAAATCATTAATTGAAGACTATTTTTATATTACTCTGTACTTTCTATTCTTTAGAAATATTTTGTAATAGAAACACTTTTGAAAAAGTGAAATAAATATCACATAACAATGGCTATATGTTCCGAAGAGAATGGGACTGGGGAAGAAATGAGAAACAGCTATCATACATGCAACCTTATCCACTATAAACGCTGAAAGCAGATTTGCTTGATTCTAGCCACTTAGGAGACAAATTTGTTTTTGGGTTTTTTTTTTCCCATCATCTTTCATTTAGCAAATGTTTACTGTGAGCAGTACGTGCCAGGCATGCTTTAGATACTGGAGATACAGCCACGGACCCCTCCCCTAATGGGGTTTGTGGACTGATGGAGAAAGAGCCAATATAATAGGAAAATGCATTCTAGAGTGATACGGACTCTGAAATGGGCAGTGCTGGGTTTTCTGGAAGCACATAGGAAGTACTCCTATCTCTGATTTGGGGGGTCAGGGAAGGCCTCCTAGAGGAAGTGATGTGGGAGTTGATATTGGGCAGAGGGGCGGGAGTTAGTCTGGTGAAGTGGGTGGAGATGGGGTTAGATGATTATAGGCAGAGGGAAGAGAATACGTGAAGGGCCCTAAACAGAAAGGAGTTGAGACGAGTATTTCTGGTTTTAGTCTGGAATGTTGGTTCTTAGCGCGCTCATGGCCAAAGAATGACCAGATGCACCAAAATGAGGCAAGCATGAGGTGAAGTTTATTGAGGGGGAGCAAGATAGGATTATAGAGCAAGAGCAAGACGTAAGTTTACAAAGCATGATACATACACCACAAATGACTACTGGACCCCTCGTTGCAGCAGAAAAAGAACACTCAGGAGGCAAATTTGAACTGCCTGGTTTACATATGATATACACGTGAAATTATTTTTAAAAGGGGGGTAGGGAGAGCTATCACGGGGAGTCTAAAATATCCAAGGCAGTAACTCACAACACATTTTTCCCCTTACTTCCATCTTTCTCTATTCCTATTCTTCCACTACTTTTCTCTCCTTTTTTCCATTTCCTATTCATAACTAAGCCTGTTAGTTTTACCCAAGGGGATTTTCTTAAGCACCCTAACCTGATTTTCTCCTAATCTGAAGAAAATAAGGCACTGACAGTTATTAACATGCAATGTCGATCATCACTATAGCTACAGGGAAATTCAAACCGCACCAGGCTTTTCTCTTTCAGCCAGCTCATTCAGATACTATCTCAAACCATTTATGAACTCTGGCAAATAGGTTTCCTACCTTAGAAAGTGCCTCGTCATGAACTACTGTATTGGTTGTTAAAAGAACTAGAACTGTTTGAAGTAGCTTAAGTTCTTCAAGACTATTTTCCATTAGCTGCCAAAGCATGTTAATTATATTTCCAGCTGCAGTCTGTAAAATAATTATTTTAATTATTACCAACAAATAAAATATAGGTGTTTTTGTCCCTAAATAAGAAAAGATATACAAACCTTACCTCACTTGGAGAGGATTTCTTGATCACAACAACAAAAACCATATTTTTAGATCTACAGTCTAAGCACATCTCTCAACTAATTTGGGACTTAACAATCAATTTTCTCCCCAAAAAAGTAAATTTCTTTAAAATGTAATATCCTAGTTGAATATAAGCAAATAGCAGAATGCAGTTCTGAAATACCTAGTCAAAATCAAAGCTCATTTCCACAGTAATATGGCTATATTTCATTTGGACTAATATGGACATACACAAATTATGAGTCTGCTGTTTCTTATACATTACTTTATCTACAGTATATGCAGAAAAAACAAAATGCAATGCAAATTAATAACACATTTGTACACTCAATTTAATCTGATATTGTTTAGGATGCTATACTAAGGGCAAATACCATTTCTATCCTTACAGAATACAAAATTAAGATAACACCATTACACTTGAGAGCAAGATGCAGATTCATAGTTATGAAATATTTTTTGTTTTACCATAAGGTTAGTAAAAAAAAATACACTTAATGAACAAATTATCACTTCAGATAATCTAGGAAACAGTCATGATTTTCCCTCCTGTCTAAAATTTATGAATTACATTAAATAACTATTCAATGATATTGAAAATTTGCTTGATTCTCAAAATTGTCACCTATATTACTGAACTGTGACTTCTTAGATTACAAATGACTTGACAAAATGCATTTCATCTTTATTCATTATTTATGAGTGTTTAAAGAGGAGATAATTTGGCAATATTTAAAATTTAAGCCCTTTTCTCCAAGCACATTGCCATTCATAAAATTGTCTTATATTAAACATCGTGTATGTTTCATTCTCCCCTTATGAAAACTACTAATTTGACTTCCAGGTGCAGTTCAGATAAAATCATCATATTACCTCAGACACGACTTCATGTGACATGAGTCTCTGAATAGCAGCCAAACAGAGCTGAGTGATCTTCGGTTCCTTGGTTCCACAACCCATTAGAAAAGGCTGTACAACCTCTGAGCTGTTGTCTTTCAGTGCTTTATTTAGAACACATACAAAATAAATTATTAAATCTTATAGTTAGGAATACTTTCTATTATATAATTACAACCAGTAGTGACAATCTTAATAAAAACCACTTTATGCAAAATAAACACCAAAATAAAAATCGGGTATCAGATAAACACTGCAGACTCTATAGCTAAACTATATCCCTTAACTACTGCTTTCCTATGTCTTTCTCCTAACACTCTGTCCTTTGGTTCTCTTCCATCTTCTGTTATAAACTCTTTTAGTATATACATGGATTCTCAGAAGTTTTGGTCCACCTCAGAGAAGCACTCTATTTCTTCATATAGTACAGGAGGGAAAATATAAATAAGAATTCATACTCTAGAGCAGAGTCACTAAAAATAGTATGCCCATCACTGCCATCACACTTGTAAATGAATATTTAGAAACTCCCTAGAATTTTATTATATGCCTGAATTTATAGTCCTAATTTCTTCTCCAAGAAATAAACAGCTCTTATTAAAAACAGTAACATTATTCCTGTTATTACTGAAACGGTACTTTAAATGAATTGGATGCACATGCTATAATTCCAAACTTTAACTCCTTCTACCAAGCCAACTCTCTCAAAAGTTGAAAGTGCCAACTAAAATGTAAGAGGTTAGAAAATGCACAAATTAAATTATATATAATTAAACTTACAAAATGAAATTAAATCAACACACGCTTACTGAAAGGTTACACAAAGATGAATAAGACAGGTTAGTCATCCTAAGGGAATTTCAATAAATAATATGAAATTCCAAATTAAGAGACCATTAACTTCTGAGTGATATTTGTTTTCAAAGGTACTAACTCCATTAGTTATTTTTTGAGGCAAGACATGTAATAAAGACATATAAATCTAAGTTTTAAAATGTTTTTCAAAAGAAATTGAGAGAAAGTCATCCAGAATCACCATTAAAAGCGTAAAACCAGTGTGCTAACATTAATTTTATCATTTAAATCCTTACCTTTCTTCTCCCAAAGCTCCCTTTATGGTATGTTAAATTAAGACTACAATTTCCTACAGCATGCTCTGCAAAGTCCCTCAGTATGCATGCATAAATTACTGATTTGGCACAGCTAAGATGTCAAATGTGACTAGCAAAGAATGGTGTTTCCAAAAGGGCTTCTCCTCCTAATTCCCTTGCTTTTCTGTGCATAAAGGTTTTGATTCAAACCTGGAGACATAAATTTTCTATAATAATGTCTCAAAACATTAATATGATTAAAAGATGATCATAAAGCTCATTATAAAGCTTTAATAAAGTGATTAAATATCCTACTATATTAGGTCCCACCAGAATCACTGATATATAAGGCTACCCCTATCTCTGCTTAACACTCATTATTAAATGTTACTCAGGCAAATTAAAAACTTCCAACAGTAACAAGTTGTATTTATAATTTTTATGATGTTAACATGTGTTTTTCTTTTGAGCATCACAATCTTACAGAGTTTACAGGGCATGATTTGGCCCAAGAGACATAGTAAGTTAAGTGGTGGAAAGCCAGAATTTAAAAATACCATATATCTTCTACTCCTGGTTCACTATTCTTCCTACAACATAATGCTGGCACTCTTTATGGTAAACAGTACCCTGATGATAACGGAAGTTAAAAGAGAAAACAATGGTCTGCATTTTAAAGCTATCTGCCTGAAGTCTTCAGAAAAATTAAAGAAAAGGAACTTGTCTTCATAAAAAACAAAACAAAATGTACTTCATCATAGAGTTCAAGATGCTAATGATTTTAAAACATACCTGTAATATCACAAAGAAAGAAAATCAGCGCCAATTAAACTACGACACAATGCTTTCTAATCACTTAGAATTTCTCTTCACAACTTCATCCTCTCGGTCATCAAGAGCACTGGGATGCCCCACTTCTTGGATATTTCACTATTGTCTCTGAGAGTCCTCATTTCTTGAAAGAGTATTTCACTACTGTCTCTGAGATTTTCTTCTAAGCCAATGACACCCATTCTGCATGTTTTGATGCTGGTGCTTTTTTGATCTTACCATAAAATGTTAACAGAAAGTTTTTGACAACTAGGGTGACATTTTAAATAGCAATTAAACTCAACATACGTGGTATCAACAATGCACTCAACTAAACTGATGTGATAATAATATGGAGAACTATGAACAAGTTCATGCACACACTAGAAAAGAAAACTACAACATCACCTGTCACACAGTGATTCTAAGATGCCATCAACTGCAAGATGCATACTAATTTGGGGGGTATAAAAAAGTGAAAAAAGCATATTAAAATCAATAAAATAAGGTGAGCCATAGTGAAATATTGTATATACATCAGTTACAGCAAGATCTATCAAGCTGAAATAAACATAAGATAGTAATAAAAACTTAAAAATTTTTACTTTAATGTAACTCAAAGAAATCAGACACCTATCTCTCATCTCTTGTCACTTTTTTTCCTCCCAATTTATATGAAAATATAGTGGTCAAAAAGGAAGTTTCTACGTTATCCATAATAGATGATCAACAAAATAATAAAACCTATTTATCTACTGTAAGTCTTTTGAAGCATAGTTTGAAAAACAAAAATATACCCACCATATTTAAATAACAACTCAGTAAAAAAAATCATAAGAAAAAGTTACTGATTTTTTTTCTTCTTTCAGAAGTGAAAGTTGTCCTAAGAAGCAAAAATTAATCTTGCTCTTCTAATTGAGACATATCCACTCTTTACAATAACTTTAATGATGTGCTAATGAAGTATAGCTTTATATAAATACCTTCCTATGGTTTTAGATTTTAGAAATCACATTGAGGAAAAGGCTGTACAGCAATATAAAAACATCTTGCTTTAACCATTTTGTAAGTCATTCCAGGAAAAAAAAAAAAAAAAACAGAAAGGTTGATTCTTTGTCATCAAAACTATTTCAATTTCCATTAAAATATAAAAATAGGTTTTGGGGAGGGAGAAAAAAAAAGTTTATTTCCCACCTAGGTCCCTTAATAAGCATAACTCTTTAACAGAGTAACACTGTATGTTAAATAAATATTGTATTTCCAAAATACATAACCGTGAGACCAAATGACGCACTTTCACACACCTGAAAGAGGTCCAGCAGGTCCCCATATCCTAGGGGTTTCCTTGCTCTGAGCAGTTTCACTGCATTAGTGTAGTTTTATCCTGAAAAAAAAGAATTAAACTAGGATACCCCACTATGAATCACATTAACAGGGGTTAATAAAAGTTTTATTGTGATAAATTTAAACAGTCATTAAGTAACAAAGTTTAATTCTTGTGAAAGAAATAAAATGGGACTTAGACATTTTGTCTATCCTCAAAATGCTAAAAATCTAGTTCCAGAAAAGACTGATATTCCTAACAACATTGAAAAAAATTTTAGTGGGTTCAGAAGGTCTGAAAATATATTTAAATGATTCAAGAATAAGAACGAAAGTATAGGCAATTCCATATTAAAAGCACATTATAGGAAAGGGAAGGACTATTCAACAAATAATGTTCATCCATCTGGTTAATAATTTTGCAAAAGAAAAAAAATTAAATCCTCACATCACCCTATATATTATTAATTAAGAAAAAATCAAACCATAGAATAAAAATGACTGTCAACTATGCGGAAGAAGGGCATCCTAAGTGTAGAGCTACAAAAAACCCAGAAAAATTAGAGTATATAAAAATGAAAAGCATCTAGATACAAAAATCAAAATGGGGAAAATATAATGTAAACATGCTAGGAAGTATTTTTGCTATATAAATATCTCAAGCAATTTGATAAGGAAAACACAAAAATTCAAATGAAAAAAGGAAATAATTTAATACAAAGAAAAATGTTCAACATCAAAAAGAAACACCAATTAAAATGAGAAGTCATTTGCCTGCTCAATTACCAGAAGGATTTTTAAAAATAATAATCCTGCAAGAGTGTTATAAAAATATATTTACATATTGTTGGTAAAGGTATATACTTTAACATTTTCAGAAAGCAATGTGGTAACACATTCCAAGAACTTTAAACATATTGACACCCTTTAAATGTATAATTTCATTTCTAGAAATTTATCATAAAGGAATAATTCTAAATATCAAAACACATCTAACATAAAGGAATGGTTAAACCACAATCCACTTGCTGAAATATTGTACAGCAATTAAAAACATTTAAAAAGATGGCATAAAAGAAAAATACTCATGATACAATGAAAGGTACAAATTATATGATATAATAAATGGATACAAATTAAAATTTAAAAAAGAAAAAATAGGAAGGAAAAAAAGTATAAATAAAAGCACACTATGTTGTAGAAAAACTATGTATAAGAACGTAAGAATCTCTCTGGCCCAACAGGTCAACTTGTGAACATGGCATTATTTACAGGCCCCATGTCTTTCTAGCCTGGATTACAGAAATAGTCTTTCAACAGATCTCTGCCTCAGTGACAGCACACTGAAATATTACTCCACACTGCTGTCAGAGTAAATTTGCTTAAAAATGTAAATCAAGTGTCACTTCCCTGATTCAAACTCTTCCCATCAAGCTGCTCAGAATAGCACGTAATGGCCCTTATGATCTCTCTGGCACCTATTCCCCCTTCATACTTTATGGTCAGGCAATACTTGAATAGTGTATCCAGATACAGCAAGCTGTATACACAAACCTCATGTATTTGTTTAAGTAGTCCCCTTTCCATTTCTGTACTTTATTTGCCTGGCTAACTCCTCTTTAGGCTTCTAAACAGCTTCAAATTCCTAGGCTGGGATAAGTGCCTTCCCTATGTTCCCATAACAACCCTGTCTATACTTCCATCTTGGCATTTACCACACAGTATTAGAATTCTGTTTAGAGTCTGTCTCCTTCATTACTCTGTTACGCGGTTGACGTGAACTAAAAGTAACAAAACTCATGTACTCAAACAATTATAACATGTAAAACTAGTAGAAAAAACATAATAGAGGCAACATTAAGGGATTAGTTGCATCTTGATGTGATTCGCTTATTAGCCTACATTTAATGAGTGCTTGCTATTTCCCACGTAGAGTGCTAAATACTGGCAACGTAAGGAAGAATAAGAAGTTGACCCTGACCTCAGAGTATATCATCTGGAAAGGAAAGTTCCTGGCAAAAGACTTCAAAAGTTTAACGAAGGAGCAGGTAAGCTAAACAGAACAAATGGCATAAACATACCTTTCAAGTTATTTTTTTTTTTGCATTTCCGTATAGATTGTAGGTGAATTACATTACCCATCTTTGTATCTTCCCTACTGATTCCTACAGAATTATTTACTTATTAAGAATATGTTGCATGATATATTCTGTAGATGTTTGTAAAATATTACAAGTGCATGTACCGATATGATAAAATATATTAAATAAGCAGATAAATTACCTTTTAATGTCAGAAAAAAATTGCAAAGTATATTTACTCATTGCTACTTAGAGATCTTTTAGTTATAAGACTGCGTAGATATGAAAAAGATGAGGATAAAGCATGTGAGAAATGAAGACTACAAATCATACGTAATGATTATTTATGTAAAAATTCTATATGTATACTGACAGTAGCTGAAAGCAGCCATAGGTAGATGTAACCATTATGGTTTTGGATAGGAGTTAAATAGACAGTTTTAAAAGATATCACAATTTCATTGATTTCCTTGTTACAGATATATATTCAAAAAGCAAATTACATAATTTTTGTACAATATCTGTCTTCTCAATTTATAGTATGTTGTATGCTAAGATAATAAACACAATTTGTAATATATAATAGTCAAATGTAAGATTAAGGCATCGGGCCTTGTAAATGAAAAACTTTATGTTGCTATTGTTCATTTGCAAAGTTTTATCTTTAAAGAAAAAGGAAATTTTGAGATAATGATCTGTACATCTGAATCAATGCTGACATTACCTGGCATAGCATTCCCACTTATGTCAGCATTCATGACAGCAGTGAAAACAAAGAAAAATGAACATTAAAGGAGGATGCTTAAAGAAGGGGAGAAGTAAACCAAAGATTTATTCTGCAATGTAAATAATCTTCCCTTGGGAAATAAATCTAAGAAAACTAAAGTTGGCTAGAAATCTATACTAAGGATCATTAACTAGACTAGTAGATCCTAATTAAGGGTTCTGATTTTTACAGCAACCCTTTATATTTTCTGAATATACAAAGATGTATGAGAATTCAATATCCCATCTCATTTGAGACTCCTCAATTCTTTGGTGTCTTTGACATCCATTACAGCACAAAAGTAGTATCCTATAGTCTCCAGTACTGTAAAGAAGTAAATACTTCTCAGGAAATAAAAAAGTTAACCAAAAATTTTTCTCGGTATTAACTATGTAGTTTAGAAACTATATACTTATTACTTAAACTTTGTTTTTAAGAGTCTTTGATTTTCAAGATGACAGTGGTCTATAAATCTATAAGTTTTAGGTATTAATTGCTATAAATACTCGGTAAAAAATATTACGATAAAGTTTAAGTGCTAATATACCTCCTAAAGTACATGGCTCTAGCTACTTTGAAGATTATAGCATGAACTATTAATTGCATTTGCATAAAGATGTATTCTAACTTGATTTGAATAAAACTAATTGAATTAAAATGAAATTAATAGCCTGTCTATATATTAAACTCATACCAACTGAGTCAAAATATTTCTTACTCTTCCTTAAAATTAACTAATTAGACATTTTACTTGGTATGGAACATTTTACTTGGTATGGAATAAACAGTGATCCTCTGAAGAAATCAGTCTTTTTTTTAAATCTTCCCCCAACTATAGTACAAATGAAAATTTCTATTATGGGAGAATAAGTAAGGACTTACCACAATATCAGCAATAATATTAGCAAAGGTAAATATTTACAATTATATTCTAATAATATGGTTGGCCTATGACAAGTCTCCAACATAAAAATATCCAGATCAGAATTTATCTTTAAACACCAATTTTTCCACATTGGCTAATCCACCCAACATGCATCTCCCATTAAAACCCACTTGCCCACCCTCCCAAAACAACCATACTTTTGCCTTTACCCGCCACTTTCACTACACCCTTTCTCATATAATATGCACACAGCATTATTCATATCTGTCGATAATATTATAAAACTATTTGGTATTTTGACAGACTGTTCAAAATCAGGGAAGAAACTGTGAGAAACAGATACAACTTATGAGTGTTAACCCTAAGGGCAAATTCCCGGCAAAGCTGGATACTCTAAGTGAAATCCACTCTTGCCCCCAGCCCAGCCTTAAACTGCTCCCAAAAATCATTTCATTTTGTAACACTCTGAAATCCCACTAGTTAGGAATTTATTGATATCCTTTTTAAAAAATGTAAAGTTTATGAGAGTTAGATTCTTTACTATTTGCACTCTGTATAAATTAACTTAATTAGACTACTTTTCTCATATACTAGCTGAGATCAATAGCACTATTGGAACTGGAAGTGCAGACTGAAGGATCAATGAAGCAACAGTTACATATGAAACACTTGGGATGGAGTGGCTAGTGTGATGACTCTGCAATACCATAGTAGCACACTGCAGCAGGAAGAACATGGACTCTGAACACTCCTGGATTTGAATTTGCTTTCGCCACTTATCATATGATGTTGGGCAGGTAATTTAGTCTCTTTGCATCTCAATTTGTTTTACTATACAATAATATTTCCCCAGAAGGTTATTTTATGTAAGACAGAGTGGCACAAGTGCCTCACATACAACAGATTCCTCCTCTATTGAGGCAAGAAGAGAAGGCACCAAAGAAGAAAAAGGAGTAGACTGAGTAAAGAAAGAATGCCAAAGAGAAACTCTTGAAAATTTCTTCTTGAAAACTAAGTTCAATCAAGAGAAGGTAAGAAAACACTTTTGTTTTCTTTACTCCGACTCCCATTCTTTCTTCATGACCATATTGCCTTGGTCCCAGGACTCAAACCTGATATGGTACAACTAAATATACAAAACTACATTATGAACTGTTTATATTAAAGATAAGACTGATCTTAGAAGGTGGACTGAGAACCAATCTTTCATTCAATTCAATGCAACAAATATTAATATTAATTGAATGCCTTTTATGGGTGTGTCTCAGGTGATCAGCAAGAAGTGGAGGAGAATGCAAAGATGAATATGAAAAAAATCCCTGCCTTTAAGAAGTCAGTAGTGTGCTCACTTTGGCAGCACATATACTAAAAAAGAAGTCAGTAGTTTATGATTTCTGATTTCAGAGAATTTTCTAGCATTGATCTTGGGGAAACAGAGTCAGTCCACAAGTCAGGGACTTTTACCTGTTCTGTATCACAAATAGCATATGTTAGGGCATGAGGAAGAGATGTAACAGAAAACTGATGGCTTCTTTTTAAAAGATTCTTTTACTATTAGTCAAATTTTTGTTAATCGTTAAATTTTTAATGCAAAAAATTACCTGCCAAAATTTCGGTGTTTCGTGCAGCTATTGTTTTAACTTTTATTATTCCTGATTCAGCAGCCTGTAAGAATAAAAATAATTAGAGCATAAAACTTATTGTCAACATGAATAATCCAGGGAAAAGAAGTCACACGATAGATAAGCACACAAAGAGTCAGTCACTATCACCTTTTTAATTTACAAAACATCAGATACTAAGCTCAGCAGTGACATAGACATTAAATGTAATAAACTATGATTAATTTGATATTCACATGCAAACTCAGCCCTATAGCATGCTGCCTTCCTCTGCCTTAAGGCATATCTGGAATACCTCAATCCCCAACAAATTTAAATGTTCAGAAAATAAAAATAATAAATAAAACCAAAACCTGAGGACAATCATTAGGCTCCTCTTCCCCATTTCAGCCCTCCACTTCCCCCCACTGCAAAAAAATTGCAAAACCACTGCAAAATCAAGTAAAACTACTGTTTTGGATTAAAAGAACCAGTTTCTCTTTTGAGAATGAATAACCACCCACTTTGTTATTACTTTTCAGTTATATTTTTTAAACGCTCAGTTAAGTTTTTATAATGTGTCTAAAACACCTCATCAGAGTATGTTTAGCTAGCGGTACCTGCAAGTCATACAGCATTTTAAAGAATGCCACAGAGCTGCACTGTCCAACTGTCCACATTGGCTACATGTGACTTGACATGTAGCTAGTCCGAATTAAGCTGGGCTGTAAGTATAAAATAACATACTAGGTTTTCAAGACTTAGTATAAAAAAATATATAAACTATCGACAAATATTTGTATCTATTACATGTTGAAATAGTATTTTGAATTTATTGGGCTAAATATTACTAAAATAAATGTCTCTGTTTCTTTTTACTTTTTAAATGAAATTCAAAATTACATACATGCATTTCATTTGTGGCCCCACATTATACTTTTATTGGACAGTGCTGACATATAATATTGATATATTATTTCCATCACAGAAACTCAGAAGATTTTTACTATTTGGAAACATGGCTATTTTATAGTTATACTGGTATCTATACCTTCAAAGATAATACATATATACTCATAAAAAGTTATATGTCCAAGTTTTTCTATTAATTTGCTTACTACTTGCTCATTTGTTATCTCTTGCTGCTTGCTAAGGAACAAGTGGTAGCAGGCTCTAAAGGTTTAAAAATAACTATAAAAGAACACCAGTTTGTTATGGACTCTTAGTTTGATGATCAGTGGATTAGTGCATAAAATGAAGAACACATTGTAAGCTATATCATGTGTAGTAGACCTTCGTCACATTGTTGCCTCCAAGCGTGTGAAGCCCTTGCTTATATTTGAAGAATTCCCAACTTCATTAATTTTGGTACAAGACAGAGCCTATATTCCACTAACCAAATTGAAAATGCCAGATACTTGTTTCCTACATGCCCTGGCAGCCTATGCTTACCCATATACAGGCACCCACTGGGGATTCTGAATGTGGAGCCTAGTAACAAAGAAAAGAAGAGACAAAAGAAAATTCTGATGACAATAGCAGAGGCAATATCCACTTTTCGAGGGCAGCAGAACCAGTGGTGGCCTGAAGTGACCGGTGCAACCAGTAGTGCAATTCACGGTATCCAGTTACTATTCAGCAGACAGCGATAATAGTCTCACCGGCATGAGTATTCTAGTTGTTCAGCTTCCCTTTGTTCATGTACCTATTTTAGGGCTGGATGCATCCAGCCTTCTACCAATTCTGTGAAAACCACACAATATCCCACCAGCAACTTTTATTTCTGCTTAAATCAGACAGAGTCAGCTTTCATTGCTCACAACTAAGAAGGCTAATTGAAACACTTACTTCTAAAACTTTAAGAAATGGAAATGTCCCAAATTAAATTAACATGGCTACTAGCAGAAAAACACTGTCAAAATCAATTACTTCATGGAAAGATTTGGTTTTCTGATTATTTGAGGCAGTGCATATTAGAAACACCAGAAGTCTCAAAAAAAAAAAAATCCCGATGCCCAGATTGCAACCCAATTAAATTGGAATGACTGCTAGTGAAAGCCAGGCATCACTATTAAAAAAACAAAATCCTCAGGTGATTCCAATATACAGTAAAATTAGGTGACTTGCAATAATATAAGCAAGAGATGATGGTGGACAGGCACAAGATGGCAGTAGATTGAGGTGGTAGGAAATGGCTAGATTCTGGATATAAAGATGTAGAAACCATAGCAAATTTACTACTGTAAAAATTAAATTGAAGAAATTAATCTGTGGTCGCTGAAATTTCTTCCACTATCATTTTCAAGTTTAAGTTCTCCCTCTTCTTACTATGGCCCTACATACCTTGCATATGTCCAATTTTTTTTTTTTTTTTTTTTTTGAGACAGAGTCTC